CTGCTCTTCAATTTTGTTTTGGTGTGTCTGTCTTTGCTTGGTTGCTGATTCCTGGAGCTGGTTGTTTCTGTGTGGTGTAGGTCGTCAGTTGTTGTTGCAATCCGAGTTCAGTTGGGGTGGTTGCGGGCTGGGTTGGGCGGCCCCCGCTGGGTCGTTGCGATCGGGTGGGTGGTCTGGTCTGCCGACAGGTCCCTTTGTCGCGCTGCTGGTGCCGGGCGGGATGGAGCCTCTCCGCTCCGGTGGAGAGTGAGGGGTAGGGGTGGGATCCTCGTGGAGAATCCCGGCTGGTAGGTTTCTCTGTTCCTGGCAATCCCACTTTTGTAGTCTTAACGGTGTGAAGTCAGTGTTGCAGGTCAGGATGGTTCTCCTCCCCCTGGTTATTCAGAAACCTTAATTCCTTTTATTTCATTGGATTTGCTATCTCCTAGAGCCTGGCCTCTGGTCTTTTACATGGTCAAAACTAGATGACAGTCATGTCTAGACAATGTTGGTTGGGCAGGGGGAATGTTCAGGAGCCATGCATACTGCCTTCAAGCTTCAGCCTAGGGAGTGCATATGACTTTTCTCACTGCACAGGCTCATCTCACTATAGTAACAAGGAGGGGAAAAAGCAGCAGCATACTTGGAAGACAGCTAGTGGTATAGAGTTCTTGTGGTCAATAATGTTCTTTTTTCTTGATCACCACTCATGAGTGACTAAATAAGTGGCTTTGATGTGGAAGAGAATATTTATTTGTGGCATGTGTAAAACCTGGGATTCTTATGGGAGGTATTCTTACATGGTATTCTTACATGGTATGTGAAATGTCTTGAGTCGGGCACCAGTGGCTTCTATTGACTCAGGAGGCTGAGATTTCAGGATCTTGGTTCAAAGCGAGCCTGACAGAAAAACCTTAAGATTCTTTATTTCCAATTAACTACCAAAAGGACTTAAAGTGTTCCTGTGGCTCAAGTGATAGAGCTCCACCCTTGAGCAAAATAGCTAAGGGACAGCATGTAGGCCCTGAGTTCAGGTCCCAGTGCCAGCACAAAAAGAAAAAAGGAAATATCCCAACTAATATATATTCATGTGCTTTTCTTTTTCAAAATATCTTAACGCCCTTGTGTTTGCTTATCACGACAGTCATAAATAGTACTTACTAGATTTTATTTTACAGTATTTACTACTTTTCCAGTTCTGTAGAAAGAAAACTTTTCAAAAGTAACAGACTGCTGGGCTCTGGTAGCTCACACCTGTAATCCTAGCTACTCAGGAGGCTGAGATCTGAGGATCACGGTTCAAAGCCAGCTTTGAGACTCTTACCTCCAGTAAGCCACTAGAAAACCGGAAGTGGTGCTGTGGTTCAAGTGGTAGAGCGCTCGCCTGAGCTGAAGAGCAGAGGGACAGTTGCCAGGCCCAGAGTTCAAACCCTACGACCTACCAAAAAAAGAAAAAGTAACATACTACCACAGGTAGGAAGTGGGATAGCAAGGAATAGAATGTTACTTAGTTCAAGTGCGAGTGTCAGTGGCTCACGCCTGTAATCCTAACTACTCAGGAGGCTGAGATCTATGGATCATGGTTGAAAGCCAGCCCGGGAAGGAAAGGCCAGGAAAGGCCGTGAGACTCTTATCTCCAATAAACCACTCAGAAAACCGCAAGTGGCACTGTGGTTCAAGTGGTACAGACTGCTCACCTTGAGCTGAAGAGCTGAGGGATCGTGCCCAGGCCGAGAGTTCAAGCCCCACCACCGACAAAAAAAATAATAATGTTACTCAGTTGTGTCTCAATAGCAATAACAAAAGCAATGGTTGCCTACTGTGTACTTGGCAAATTTCCCACACCTTCATGTTCATGTAGCACTGTGATAAAGTGCTGATCTCCTTGAAGGTCACTCCTAGTAAAGGAAGTTAACTTTCAAATTGAGTTCTTCCAACTTTGAGTTTTTGTGGTTTTTTTTTTTCCTAATTGTTGCTTATGTGTTTTTATAAAACTAATTTGTAAAACATATTTTCTAATACTTTTGGTAGGGCTTCTGAAGATCTTAAGACTCATATGGTTGTAGCTAATACATTAGAAGATTTTCAGAAGATACTGGATTCTGGAAAGGTAAGAGATTTCTACAAACTGGGTTTTTTGTTTGTTTGTTTGTTTTGTATTATTTTGTTTTTAACAGTCACAGAAGAGATTGTAATTATTTAGCATTATATGTTATATTCTGTTTGTTTCCCAAAGTTCTGTCACTTTTTGGCTAACACTTGTAAACTCATGCTTGGTAATTTTGCCTAAAAAGACATTTGTTTGTTATGGACCCTAACTTCATTGTGTGATCATTTCATTTTGGTATCTATTCCTACAGTAAACAATATTCTATTTTCAGAAATAAAACACAAGGTTAAAAGTCAGTTTCTCTCAATTCCCTGACTATACATTATATGTACTTGGCTCTTAGTTGATTGCTCTTTCTGAATAACATGGAAGAAAATGCTGCTCAGGTTTAAGCCTTCCTTTTTAAATGAGTGGCTACTTTGGGCTCCGTAAAGATTTTTTCAACTTAGGTAGTTTTTGGCTGAGATTTCATTGGTTTTGTGTATTATGTATATGTAACTATCCTAGTTGTAAATATAATTTTGTAACTGATGTGCAAAGTTATTTATTATTGGAGTGAATCACTTATGGACTTTAGAATTCTACCTTACATGTTTGAGTATGCAACCAATCCCATGTCTCCAGGTTACAAATGAGAAAATCATCATGGGCCAGAGTCTAAATGAATTAGCCCAAGCTACATAGTGTTGAACCTGGTGCTAGAAGTTAGATTCTACTTCCTCCCCCACTCCTGTTCAGTTTAATGTACTTTTCTCTGTATTTTTTTAATGTTGAGAATATAAACAACACTCTGATTATGAATGCTAGTATGTCTCATTGTACAAGCTGGTAATATTAATCTGTGTGATTTCTCAGTTTACTAAACTGTAAAAAAGTACAATATAGATCATCTCAAAATGCCCTTCAGATTCATAATTCCTCTGGGTTTAGCCTTTTATTATTGTTTTATTGCCTTTGTCCTTTTTTTACAATTTATTTATAATATTTTCCTTTTGCCTCATAAATTTTTATATAAAATTTTCTTTTACTATAGAAATATGGTGGTCAATTTACAACATAGTCTATTAGAGAAATCGCATAAGAGTTAATAAATCAATAGGGTAACTCGGTTAATCCATTGATTTCAAAGAAATGAATCTCAAAAGGTATTAATGGGAGTCAAATCTTTTATCCTGTTATTAATAAATTACTGCACAAATTTTAACTTCTATTATTATATGTTGAAATTTTTATTTTCTTTCTACTCTTGTCTGTTGTTATAGATAAAAACAAAGACATTTGATTTATAGGATTTTATTTTGGTAATTTTTCCAAAGGATGGAACTTAAGCCAATGAAAAACAATGCTTATCTGTATGTGGTTTATTCTTATATATTAATAGTAGTTAATTTTGTTGAGCTCATGATTTTTGAATATTGCTGTTTCTTATCATTTACTTTTTTTTCCTAAAAACTTTTTTTCTGGTAGGGACTGAGAACTACATGTGCTATACCCATGCTCTTTTGTTTCTACTTCTTGTTTTTTGACTTGGAGTCTTGCTAACTTTGTTGAGACTGGCCTTGACCTCTGCATCCTTCTGTTTCCACCACCATGATTATAGGCATGTGCTACTACTTCTAAGGGTTTACAACATTCCATACTACAAAAATGTATTTCTAAGAATAAATAATTGGATGCCAGTGGCTCATGCCTGTAATCTAGCTTTTCAGGAGGCTGAGATCGGAGGATCACAGTTGGAAGCTAGCTTAGGCATTTCTTATCTCCAATTAACCACTCAAAAACTGGAAGTGGTGCTTTGGCTCAAATGGAAGAACCTAGCCTTGAGCACAAAGAGGCTCAGGGACAGTGCCTAGGCCCTGAGTTCAAACCCTACAACCAAAGAAGAAGAAGAAATACAAAAATCATTAAATTAAGTTGAAAAACTTTTCACAGCTGAATAACTAAAAACATATATTGTCTCTTTCATATTAATGAAGGTCAAGCCCCAAAAGCCAGAATTTTCAAGTCTTATCCTCTAAACATTACTTTGAAACTAGAAAGAATTAAATCATAGTTTTTATAAAATTATTACTTAGGAATTCAAATAAAACTTCTGTTGAATTTGTTTATATGCTATGACTATTTTACATTTTTTTTATTTTGTTTTGAAGATACAGACCACTTTGGTATTTTTTTAAGGAAAAAGAAAATTGTTAGTTACCAAATTTATTTATTTATTTATTTATTTATTGCCAGGCCTGGGCATGGTCCCTGAGCTTCTTTTGCTTAAGATTAGCACAAGCACTTGAGCCACAGAGCCACTTACAGCTTTTTCCGTTTATGTGGTACTGAGGAATCCAGCCCAGAGCTTCATGCATGCCTAGGCAAGCACTCTTACCACTAAGCCACATTCCCAGCCCGAATATTACTTCTAATAGCTCTTGTATCTCCCTTTCATAGAGCTGTAGATTACCATCAGCTGCTTGTTAATTTCTGATGTGTTAATGATGTTCTTCTCATCATCAACATTAATCTCCAGGATTTGGGCTAATTATTATTGCACATAGATCTCATTTTGTGGTGGACATACTATGAAAGAACTGGGAGAAATCTTAATTCTGGTCTAGTCAAAACTTTACATTGTATTGAGAAAAAAAATCTAGATTTTTAAACAAATGTAAAGTTTCAAAATTAAGACAAAGGCCTAAGTGTCCATTATTCAACTTTTTTTATTTTTATTTATTTTTTAATTTTAATTTATTTTCTGGTGTTGGTTCAGTCCTGGGGCTTGAACTCTTTTTTTTTTTTTTTGTGGTAGTTTAGTGGATCTAAGAATCTTACAGACTTGCCTTCCCAGGCTGTCTTTGAACCATGATCCCCAGATCTCATCCTCCTAAGTTGCTGGCACCCAAGTTACAGAGTGCAAATTATTCACTTAGCCGTAACATATCAGAAACGTCAGGTCTTCCTGATTGTTGCTATTGCAATCATCACTTTAAAAACCGCTATGAAGTGTCTCCTGTTCATACTCCCTGTAGCCATCAGGTATGTAAAACAGGCATTAGTACATATCTGATAAGGTTCTGCTGAGTGAACTATGTTGTAGCCGGGTTATTAGGACATGTTACTGTACTGCAGAGATTCCTTCAGTGTGTCTTATTCTGAGTTTGGATTTTTGATGGTAGAGCAAGAAAATTCTGAGCAAGTTTCTAAGTACTATGGCTGGAAAGAGACTGGGAGCCCCATAACTCAAATCCTTCTATAGATAGAACGGGTTAGAAATACTGAACACTTCTCCTTTTCTTATTAGATTGCTCAGATTCCATTCTGTGGGGAAATTGACTGTGAAGACTGGATCAAAAAGACCACTGCCAGGTAAACATCATTAACTAACATGCTTGTGAAGTCTTGTATTTGTGAGAGAATGCGTTATCCAGTATGGATAAGTGGAATTCTTATTTGCTTATTTCCAGGGATCAGGATCTTGAACCTGGTGCTCCATCCATGGGAGCTAAAAGCCTTTGTATCCCTTTCAAGCCACTCCGGGAGCTGCAGCCTGGAGCCAAATGTGTCTGTGGCAAGAACCCTGCCAAATTCTACACTTTGTTTGGTCGGAGTTACTGAAAGATAAAACAAACGTCACTCGCTAGTCCTCCTGACTTTTTAAAAAGTTGATACTAATAATCTTCTCATACACTTTTTTGATTTTTTAAAATAAAAGGAGGTCACATGGATGAACAACTATTCTTATGAATAAATTAACAATGAAAAGATTTTTCTGTAAACAACTCCAGTAATAAATATCATGAACTAATAGTACTTCATGTATTCTTTTCTCTCTGAAATACCTAAATTACATGCACAAATTTCTTTCTTTTTTGGGGGGGGGTGGGGGTCCGGTCGTGGGGCCTGAACTCTGGGCTAGCGCTCTACCACTTGAGCCACAGCGCCACTTCCAGCTTTTTTTTTTTTTTGCTTATGTGGTGCTGAGGAATCAAACCCAGGGCCTCAGGCATGCAAGGCAAGCGCTCTACCACTGAGCCACCTTCCCAGCCCACATGTACAAATTTCTATCAAGAGATGGGTCACTGAAAATTAGTTATGGTCTACCTACCTGTCGTCCTGTGGTTCCTAGTACTGAGCCTAAAATCACCACAAATAATAATAAAAAATAATAAGCTTTTCCTTGAGCTTCTCTCCCTTTAGTTACCATTGGATCTCTAGAAGTCAAGGTTTAGTTTATGAAGGAGTAGTCAATCAGCCCTTCTCCTACTTCTTTCTTTCCGTCTTTCCTTACCCTTCTTTTGCCCTCACCAAAATCAGTGGTGATACCCTAGGTCAGAGTGAATGTTCAATTATTCTTGGCTTGCTAAATCATGACTGCATATGACACTCTTTTTATTATGCTTATTTCTATGATTTGCCCCTTTACCTTCTGACTTTTTCGTAGTTATGATTCACCAGCTTTTCTTCCTTGGTTTGCTGCTAATATATTCATATATTAAATGTCCATACTTGGCCTTCTTCTCATACTGTCTCATCAACCTCATCTAATCTCAGTTTCAAACAGCATTAATAGGCAAACAGCTCTTCACATTTGTATCTCCAGGTCTGAGCTCTAGACCTGTTTTAGTTACACTAAATTCTCTATGTTCCATCAACATTTTCAGGTTAGCATGCCTCCAAAAATCTCATTTCACTCACTATCCCAGTCTTTGCTGCCTGGAAGAACAGCTCTGACCCTGTAAACTCAAACAGGAAACCGGAGTACTAGGCAGCTGCTCTAACTCTGACATCCATAGTTTTTAGCCAGCAAAATAAATAGCTGTTAGGTTGAATGTGTTTATACCTTCCCTTCCATAGATTAATCTGTTAATCTCGAAGCCAGTCTCTACATTTCCATGGGTGCTTTTGTGTTTGTCTTTTTTTTGGTTTACACCTTGAAATCCTTTTGTGGCTGGCCATCATTTGCCTACTTCAGCAGACTCTTCCTGTCTTTGCACCCCAACCAGGTAGGGCCTCTTGCTGTTTCCCATCTATGTCTCTTTTCCCGGAATACTTTTTACATTTAATTTCTAGTATCCTTTGTAATGTCTTCCTTCAGCACTCTGTTCCAGTAGGATTTTCCAAATTGACAGTGATCAATACACCAGTAAAGAGAAAGTGCTCCAAAAGGGCCTACATTCTAAGCAGTTTTGAAAGATGAATAGAATTTTAGTGTAAATGGAGGAAGAAAAATGTGTCAGGCAAAGGAAGTAAGATTCAAAGGCAGTCAAGTACCTGGCTATGTGTAAGAAACAGGAACTGTTCTTACATTGATAGGAAATTGTTACTTGAAAGCATACTAACTACAGTATGCTTTAGGAATAATGTCATAACTATATGAGAGCAAGTGAAATATTTTAGCCACATCTTTGAACTCTGAATCAGTTTCATGATGGATGGCAATTCTTCATTACTTTTCCATGGTTAGAAGCAATGTAAACTGCTTATTTCTTAAATAGGAAAGAAGTCTGATACCTATTAGAGAGTTCCTCTACCTCATAGAGTAAGGTAGAACAACTAACACATAGTGACAGCTATTGCTATGACATAGGATCAGCTGGAAGTTACTCCTAATAGCTTTAAAGTAGTCACTTATCCTCTAACAGATTTGTTAGTATTCAGGAAACAATTAGAAGCTAAATTGTTGAGGCTCTTTGATTTTGTATTTTGTGCTGGTTCTGGGGCTTGAACTCAGGACCTGAGCACCATCTCTGAATTTTTGCCAAAGTCTAGTGCTCTACCACTTGAACCAAAATTCTACTTCTAGTGGCTAATTGAAAGTGACTTTCCTGCATAGGCTGGCTTCAAACAGTGATCCTTAGATCTCAGTTTTCCGAACAGCTAGGATTACCCCCATGAGCCACTGCCACAGGCCTGAAGTGTTGTTTTTGTTTTTGTCAGTCGTGGGACTTAAACTCAGGGCCTGGGTGCTATCCCTGAGCTTTTATGCTCAAGCCTAGTGCTCTACAACTTGATCCACAGTGCCACTTCCCGTTTTCTGGTGGTTAATTAGAAATGAGTCTCATGTACTTTCCTGCCTGGGCTGGCTTTAACTGTGATCATATCAACCTCCTGAGTAGCTAGGAAACAGGTATGAGCCACCAGCATCTGGCTGTTCTCTTTTTTTTTGGGGGGGGGGGCCTGTCATGGGGCCTGAACTCTGGGCCTGGGCGCCATCCCTCAGCTTTTCAACTCAAGGCTAGCATTCTTGAGCCACAGCGCCACTTCTGGCTTTTTTCTTCTGTTGCTGCTTATGTGGTGCTGAGGAATCGAACCCAGGGCCTCTTGCCTGCAAGGCATGCGTTCTACCACTGAGCCACCTTCCCAGCCCATCTGGCTGTTTTCTTCCCTTTTTTTTTTTTTTTTTAAAAGCTAGTCCATAAAGGAAAGGTGAAGTCATTCATAGACTAATTACCACTTGTTTTGTGCTGAACTAATCAGAAGAGCCTTAAATATGCTGTCCAAAAGGAATTCACTGTTCAGAGAAATGATTAAGGGTTTTTTTTTTCCTGAAATTTAGATTTAGGTAAGATATCAAAAAAGTGCTTTCTAAAGCCAGATGCTGGTGGCTCACACCCATAATCTTAGCTACGCAGGAGTTCTATCCTTAAGCACAAAGAGTCTCAGGGACAGTGCCCAACCAGAGTTCAACCCCAGGACCAGCAAAATAAATGAACAAAAACAACAAAACTTCTTAAGAAGACAGGACCTTGTTATTGTCGGACTGTTTTGGCTCTTAGCTTGTCACTTTTACTACAATTAGAAGATGTCAGTCATTTATTTAGCAAATTGCCTACTTTGCCCAGGGCCAGAAGATAGATATAGCAGTAAGTAAAACTAAAAGTAACTTCATTTTCTCAGTTCTGTTTTCTGATATTAGTTGTATTTAAGATGCAGAATCAGGCAGTTTGTGCATTGAGCTGAGTGACCCCACTAACACATCATGAGATCATCTCTGTCGTAGCAGACAGCCACTTTCTATGCTTGAGCTTAACCTTGTTCTGCCACACGAGTAGGCCTAAAATAATAAGCATAAATGCATTTTTCTTGTGAGTCAGCTGAGGCAACGTCAAATCAATGTCTCCAACGTTTTGGAAAGTTTTAGTAAGTTTGGAACATCAATGGTACTGCAATGATAGAAAGTATGTTAAGTCACATAATGGGAATATTTTGGAATACATGCAAAATATGTCACCAAAAACTAAGTTTGTTTGTTTTTTTTGGGGGGGTGTGGTCCAGTTGTGGGGCCTGAACTCTGGGCCTGGGCGTTGTCCCTCAGCAATTCAGCTCAAGGCTAGCACTCTAACACTTGAGCCACAGCACCACTTCTGGCTTTTTTTCTTTTTGCTTACGTGGTGCTGAGGAATCGAACCCAGGGCCTCATGCATGCAAGGCAAGCGCTCTACCACTGAGCCACCTTCCCAGCCCAGAAACCAAGTTTTGAGAGAAATAACTTTTTTTTGGTGGGGGGCGGCGTCAGTCGTGGGGCTTGAACTTGGTCTGGGCACTGTCCCTGAGCTCTTCAGCTCCGGGTGAATGCTCAACCACTCGAGCCACACTACCACTTCCAGTTTTCTGGTGGTTAATTGGAGATAGTCTCACAGACTTACCTGCCCAGGCTAGCTTTGAACTACAATCTCAGCCTCCTGAGTAGCTAGGATAATAGGCATGAGCCACTGGTGCCCGACCTGAGAAGTAACTCTTGAAGCGCTTGGAGAATGTAGAAGCTTGATGATGGGGCTAGGATTATGATTAGCTCAGAGGGCTGTGATCTCAGAGCCAAGGCTCACCCCTCCTCCTACACACTGAGACACAGCTCTCTCACCTTTGCAAGGGTGCACTTTCTGCCCTATGTCTTTTATCGGGTCTCTCCTGTATGTGTCATATTTTCTTTCTTTGGATCTCTCCATCAGCTTGCAAATACACTGCTATTATTTTCTAACCTTAAAACAGCCTTTCCTTAACTCTATATCCTTTTCTATGTAGAGTAAGTCATTGAAAGGCCTATACTTGCCATCTTTAATTTTGTTGTTGGTGGTGGTGGTGTGGGGCTTAAACTTGGCCTGGGTGCTCTCCTTGAGCACTTCAGCTCAAGGCAAGCCTCTACTACTTGAGCCACAGTTTTCTGGTGGTTAATTGGAGATAAAAGTCCCACAGACTTTTCTGCCTGGCTGGCTTTGAACTGCGATCCTCAGATCTCAGCCACCTGAGTAGCTAGGATTACAGGTGTGAACCACTTGCACCTGGCCTATCAATCTTTTTACTCTCCATTCTTTTGTACCTACTTCACACTGCCCTGAAGTCATGGCTGATAGGGTCAGGCAGGAGTTCCAGGCTTTTTTTTGCTCTATTTAGGCCTTCAACAACATAGACTAGACTCACCCACATTAGGAGGCAGTCTGCTCTACTGTCTATGGCTTCAAATATTAATCTCATCCTGAAACATTCTCAAACCCCCAGAATTTCCTTTTGAAACCAAGGGAACACTTAAAAGTCACTATCACATCAGACTATTCTTATTACTAGTTTAGTTTTTTGCATTACTAGGGTTTGAACTCTGGGCCTTCTGTTTGCTAAGTAGGTGTTCTATTGCTTGAGCCACACCCACAGGCTTTTGCTCTAGTTATTTTTGAATCAAAGTCTCCATTTTTTCCCTACCAATTCTGGACCACAACTTCTTATGCATGCTACCGGTATAGCTGGGGTAGCAGATTACCTCACTGGGCCCAGCTTTTCCATTGCACAGGTCTCAAACCATAATGCTCCCAATCAC